GAGGAGTAGGCAGGAGTGAGCATGTAGGTGAACTTCATAATATCTCCTTACAGATCTCACAGGAAATAAAATAATCCTCATGAGCCTCTCTTCTTTCCTGTACCACCAGTGCTGGGTTGTAAATAATGCTGTGACCTTTGTCTGGGTTGGGGAGTTGCAGTAAAAGAGACTTCAGTTAACCAAAACTAATCCCCAAATTGGAAAATCTCTTCCATGCTCTGTGATATGAAAGTTAGGGCTGTTTCAAACATGTAAGATTAAAATTTGCAGCACAAGAGTAGGTAAAATGCATGAGCCAACTTCACAGTTGAATCACAGACTAACTCTTTCTGTGGTAAGTCCCTTTAATTTTTTTTTTTTTTTTTTTTCTCCATCATCCCTTACTTTGGAGTTGGTTATGCTCCCATCTGACAGGGTGGGGCTTTGGGAATCACAAAAGTGGTGGAAAATGTGGATGAAACATTGGTTTGTTGTTTGTTTGGCTTTTTTTTTTTTTTTAAGGATTCTGTGATTTTAAAAAATTTGAAAACAACTGACAAGCTACAACTTGATAGGATGTTTCAGTCTTCATTTGTTTCCTTTTAAAGCTCTTCTGATTATCTGTAGATACTATGGGAGTAAGAAGTCCTATTCCCATTTAATTGACACTCCCTCCATCCTCCTTTGGGCTGTGGTCATCTCAGTGGGTGTGCTCTTCAAAGACTTTGTCCATGTACAAGTTGGCTTTGATTGAGAATAACTGAGCACATGGTATGTCTCCTGTCTGCCATTTAGCTGGAGGAAACATGTGACTTTTTATTGCTTGCTTTTAAAACCAAATGTTGGTGTAATGAGGTTAATACTAATTTTTGCCATTCTGTAAGATATCATGGCTACATCTGCATTATGGAGTAGTGTGGGCCAAGAATCATAGAGTTGTTTAGCTTGGAAATAGACCTTTAAGATCATAAAGTCCAACCATTAATCTAACACTATGAAGTCCACTACCAGACCATGTCCTGAAACACTGTATCGACACACCTTTTCAATCCCTCAAGGGATGGTGCCCACTTCCCTGGGCAGCCTGTTCCAGTGCTTGATAACCCTTTCAAGGAAGAAATTTCTCATCATGCCCAACCTAAACCTTCCCTGGTGCAAGTTGAAGCCATTTCTTCTTCTCTTATCGCTTGTTCTTTGGGAGAAGAGACTGACCCTCACCTGGCTCCAATCTCCTTTCATGGAGTTGTTGAGAGCAAGAAGCTCTCCCCTGAACCTCCTTTGCTCCAAGCTCAACACCCCCAGGTCCCTCAGCACTCCTCACCAGACTTGGGCTCTAAGGCCTTCACCAGCTTTGTTGCCCTAAGAGAGGAGTTTTGTGGAAGGATAGTTAGTACTGAGATTCTAACATCCATAGTCCGAGCATTCTGGAGGTTGTGGTGTAGTCACTTTAGCTTAAATCTGGTCCTGGGACTGCGTGCCCATTGGTAGTTGAGGCCCATTGAGTTCACTCCTGGAGCCCACACTCTGGGTTAGCTTCACCTACAGGGATGTGAACCTGTGCACACAAAGCAGGTCAAAATGCTGACCTACTTCCAAAATGCATCCTCACAGGAATGAAGTGGTTAATGCAGATGTGCTGGCCAGGTTCTTTGGCAGGACAACACTGAGCTGTGTGTGAGGTGAGCATGTTTAAACTTAGTGCAAATCATCGGTAACAACTGAGTGTGTCCATCTTATCCCAGTGTGAACAGAGAAACTGAAAGAGAAAGGAGGGGAGGGAAGGTTTTCTAGAACTACCAAAAATACCAGTGCTGAAATTCTTACAAAATTTCATGGAGCTGAAAATATGGATTTTTTTTTTTTTTTGAAGCACCTTCAAACTTTGTAGTAGTTCTGCCTGAGCTTCTGTAGGTAAGTGGCACTGTTTCCTCCACCTACTTGGGGCTGTGATTGAATGATCCAGGATGAAATGTTTTCAAGTCTTTATTTTTGGCAGTAGAGGCTTGGAACTGTTGCATGTTGCAGATTTCACCTTGCTTTAAAGCATGTGAGAACTTGCAAATTAGGGGCCTGTAAACATCTTCAGGTGAGGGGATGTTGGAGAGGGGTTGTAAAGGACCTGGGCTAAATCCAGTATAGTGGGCACGTAGGTCAGATTCATGTAGACTCAGATTCTGGTTCAGTTTGTGCTGAATAATACCAGTGGTGTTGGGACGATGTTCTCTGTTATTTTGAAAGCCCAGAACTGTGCTTGAACTTGCTAAAGTATATCAGCCCTTGAAAAATTTGACTGAATTTTCACAAAATCAGCCAGGCAAATTTATCTGGCAAGTGCACCACCAAGGACAGATCAAAAATAGCTGTTGATGAGCTTGACACAAGCTATGCTACTTGCATGTAAATGAAGGGGGGAAATATATAGGGGAAAAAAAAAAAATACAGTCCAAACACATTCTGAATTTTTTTCTTTGGCTTGTTTATCAAATCAATGTCATCCAGTGCATGAAAAGTGGCCAAGCTTATCCCATAATGACCTTGAAAGAGCTGGAGGATTTTTTTTTTGTTTTATAGTAATGTTGGTCCTCATCATTTGAGACTCTTTAAACATCACTTGCCTTGCAAAATCTTGTCCAGTAAACTGATTCAGCAGTGTTGCTGTCAGGTGTGAGGAGGTGTTAGACCCGAATGGAGAGGAAAAATCAGCAAGCCATAGGGAGAATGATGTTTGGAACCCTGGAGATCTGCAGACTGGAAGGCATCCAGGAGAAAATAGTCTGCTGAAAGGGTTAGTAGATGGTTCCTCCTGGCGAATGTTGGTGGGATGGAGTGAAGGTGTGAGTGGGTTTTGGTTTGGGTGTTTATAGAACTCAGATGTTTCATGAGTGGATTATAATCTGAAACTTCTTGGTAGGAAAGGGTTGCCTGGGCTGTGAAGTGGTGGCTGGTGTGGAGAATGTTCATTGTGAAGAGATGTTGCAGCCTTGCTGCTATATTTCAGAGTGGAGAAGGCTGGTGTTTGCTGTGGAGCTGATGTAGATGTTGTGGCTGGCATACTGTTATCCAGGGTGGGCTGTTTTGGGGGAAAACCCTCAATCCAGCATCAATGGCTTCCCTCCAGGAGCTCACCTGTGCATGAAGTGGAGGGATTATAGTCTCTAAACTCATGGCAGAGTAGTTTGGCCATGTGGTTTTGAATGTACTCAGTAATTGCACTGTTGAATTCCTTTTGTATCTCCTTCTGGTCCTTTTTGCCCCAAACACCAAGCCCTTCGTGGGACTTGGTTATTTGCTGCTACTGAGATTTGATAGAAGTTGGCTAACAAACTGGAGCTGAGTTGGGGAAAAAACAAAACAAAACAAAACCAAAACCAAACCAAACAAACAAACAAAACCACAAAAAAAAAACCAAAAAACCAACCCAAAACCAAACAAAAAACCCCACAAAAGACCCTCCACAAGCAAACAAACAAACAAACCACCCAACACCCCCCCCAAAAAAAACCAAACCAAACAAAAAAACCCAACAACAAAACCCCCAAACATTTTAACTATAACCCCAGCCAAGAATTGGGAATTTCTAGCAGAAAACATCATTTTTGGCTCAGCAGAAAATGAAATAATTCCATCCCTTTTTATTGCTTTATTTTTCTTCTGACACTTTTTGTAAGCTTGAGCATCCAAGGAAGTGTTGCATCACAAGACTGGTATCCAGGGTGATGCCTGATGGAAAACAGTCAATACACAGTTAAGTAAATAGCTTCATCCCTTAAGATGGAAAGGGAAGGCAAAGAATAATAATTTTTCATATATCACCAAACCAGTGTTTATATTGGTTCCATTGTTTTGCATAATTGAAAAGACATGAGACAGTTCACTAGAGAAAAGGGCATTTTCAGAAGAGATTAATGTTGTGTTCAGTGTCTAGAAGGAAATCAGACAATGCAGAGGTGCTCATGCACTTTTTCAATTTTCATCCCTTCTTGCTCCTTCTGGGAAGAGGGGATTTGTTTGAATGTTTTCTAAAAAGAATTTATTGCAGTGTTTTGTTCTGAACAGACTGGATGTGGAAACACGTGGGGACTATTTATGGCCTGTAGGGTAAAACCAACAAGGAGCACGTGGAAATGGGGATGGTTAAGGACAGATTTTTGGCAACGCTGTTCTCTTCATGGATGTCCCTGTTTAGGATTTTACCCGTGTTATTGGAGCAGGGCACTGAACAGATGCTTCAGGGATTATTTTTTGGGTGTGTACATGGAGTATTATTTGCAGCATTCACCAAAACTGAATGTTGGTGGAAGTAGCTTACCTGATGCTGGTGTGGGCTTTACTCCTACCATATTATTTACAAAAGCCTCGCAGTGGGAATACGTGTTGTGGATGGGTGGTTTGGCTCTGTAGGATCTGAGCCCTGGGGAAAGGAGTAAAAGTTCATATATCTGTGCGGTAGAAGGATCCCTAACCTGCTGTAGAGTCTTTGCCATAGAATCCTTTGGGTGGGAAATGATTCTGAAGATCAGGTCCAACCATTAACCCACTACTGCTAAGTCCACCACTAAACCACATCTTTCAGTAGCACATTCAACACACACGTGCTACTCAGTCATTTAGGCTGAATCCATGGGGAAGTAAGACGCCAAGTTGCATCTCCACGTATGAATGGAGAAGTTAATTAAATAATTGCCTCAGAAAAATGGAAACAAAACTGAAGCCAAAACCCCAACCAAACACTAAAAACCAGCTCTGTATCCAAAAATTCTGCCTAGTTCCATGTGACCTTGGAGCTGGAGAAATGCTGTCCTAGCTCTACAGAAGATGGATCTACATAAGTGGCCCCTCTGCCCAGAGCTGGGAACCAGGCTTGCGTCCTCCACCTCTCCAAGGGGAGAAAGGTCTGAGATCTGCCCTTGTAAATGTCTAGTCACTCCATCCCATCTCTACAGCCTCTGGATGTTGGACAAGTTGGGGCACTGGCCCTGGAACAAGACAGTGTTAACGCCAGTTTCTCTTTCTATCTGCAGTGGGAGCGCCTCTGGTTCCTCATCCTCACCTCATCCTTCTTCCTGACCCTGGTCTGGTTTTACTTCTGGTGGGAAGTTCACAATGACTACAATGAAATCAACTGGTGAGTAGAGTTTTGCTGTTGTGGAGGGGCAAACCCTTAACAAATTCAGCTGCCCTCATACACCTCGAAGAGCTGTTTGACATTGGGTTGGATGCATTTAGGTCCTTCAGATGAACATGCTAATGACAGTAAAGGGAAAACAAGGAGAGAAATGAGACTGAAGGAGACCTCCTTCTGCCTGCCTTCACTGATGTAATGTCCTCACATCTCCATTGCGTGGCTTGGGGCAGATGCGCTCCCTGCTTAACAGCATGCAAAAAAAAGAGGGTGCTGTAATCACATAGAAGCTTGTTGACTGGTTGGTTGTTTCTGTGGTTGGCTGCTTTTGGAAATGGCTGAGCAATTTGGTTGCAACTTTCAACAAAGCATAAATGACAAAAAATCGGCCTCAAACAGATATGGGTGTGGAAAATTTTTGCGAAGTTGGAAGGAACTGAAAACAAGCTTTCTAGTAGGATGTTCTGTGGAGTTTGGGGTGTTGCCAGCTCCCTTCAGTGCTGGAAGTTATTCTCCCTTTTACTATCTTAGTAGCATCTTAAAACATTTTGACAGTACCTTGACCTCTCTTCTAACCAAATTGCTTTGACCTCATTGTCTTGTCAAAGTTAATATGTAAGGTGTATTTTAAAATGCAGTGGGTAGTTGAACCCTTGAATAAATCACCTGCTGTAGGTGCTGAAGGTGTGTAAGGGAGAGTGTTTACTACCTTAATGACATGAGCTGTCTCCTCCTAGGAATGTGGGTTCTTTGCTCAGACCAGCCTTTGGAGAACTGAAACCATCAGCTTTGCTCTTGATTATTTATAATATTAGGAAAAAAAAAAAAAAGAGAGACACTTCTTTAGAGGGTATTTTGGGACTCTTCTTCCTTTCAATTCATACCTTCAACAAAGAGTCCCTTCCAGAGGGACCTAGACAAATTCCAGAAGTGGGACTGTGTGAAACTCATGAGGTTCAACAAGGGCAAGGCCCTGCACCTGGGTTGGGGCAACCTCTGGTCCCAGCCCAGGCTGGGGGTGAGTGTCTGGAGAGCAGCCCTGAGGAGAAGGCCCTGGGGGTGCTGGGGGTGAGGAGCTGGCCAGGAGTCCCCGGCA